GTAGTATGTAGATCAGTGTAACATAGATCAGGAGGATGTAGGTCAGTGTACATAGATCAGTAGTATGTAGATCAGTGTACATAGATCAGTAGGATGTAGGTCAGTGTACATAGATCAGTAGTATGTAGATCAGTGTACAGATATCAGGAGGATGTAAGGCAGTGTACATAGATCAGTAGTATGTAGAGCAGTGTACAGAGGTCAGATTTGATGTAGGGCAACGTATAGAGGTAAGTAGTATGTAAAGCAGTGTACAGAGGTCATTAGTTTGAATGAGGGCTGTGTACAGGGGTCACATTAAGATGTAGAGCAATGTACAGAGTTCAATAGGATGTAGGGCAGTGTAAAGAAGTCAGTAGCATGTACAGCAGTGTACAGAGGTCAGTATCAGGTAGGACAATGTACAGAGGTCAGTAGGATGTAGGGCAGTGTAGAGTGGCCAGTAGTAGGTAGTGCAGTGTACAGAGGTCAGTAGTATTTTAGGGCAGTGTACAGGGTTCATTAGTATGTAGGACAGTGTACAGAGGTCAGTAGTAGGTAGAGCAGTGTACAGAGGTCAGTATCAGGTAGGACAATGTACAGAGGTCAGTAGGATGTAAGGCAGTGTACAGAGGTCAGTAGTAGGTAGTGCAGTGTACAGAGGTCAGCATGATGTAGGGCAATGTACAGAGGTCAGTAGTATGTAAGGCAGTGTACAGGGTTCATTAGTATGTAGGATAGTGTACAGAGGTCAGTAGTAAGTAGAGCAGTGTACAGAGGTCAGTATCAGGTAGGACAATGTACAGAGGTCAGTAGGATGTAAGGCAGTGTACAGAGGTCAGTAGAATGTAGAACAGTGTACAGAGGTCAGTAGTAGGTAGTGCAGTGTACAGAGGTCAGTAGTAGGTAGTGCAGTGTACAGAGGTCAGTAGTAGGTATGCAGTGTACAGAGGCAGTAATGTACATGTACAGGTCAGAAGTATGTAGGGCAGTGTACAGAGGTCAGTAGTATGTAGGGCAGTGTACAGGGTTCATTAGTATGTAGGATAGTGTACAGAGGTCAGTAGTAAGTAGAGCAGTGTACAGAGGTCAGTATCAGGTAGGACAAATGTACAGAGGTCAGTAGGATGTAAGGCAGTGTACAGAGGTCAGTAGAATGTAGGGCAGTGTACATAGATCAGTAGTATGTAGATCAGTGTACAGAGATCAGTAGAATGTAGGGCAGTGTACATAGATCAGTAATATGTAGATCAGTGTACAGAGATCAGGAGGATGTAGGTCAGTGTACATAGATCAATAGTATGTAGATCAGTGTACAGAGATCAGGAGGATGTAGGGCAGAGTACATAGATCAGTAGCATGTGGATCAGTGTACATAGATCAGTAGTATGTAAGGCAGTGTACAGAGGTCAGTATGATGTAGGGAAATGTACAGAGCTCAGTAGTATGTGAAGCAGTGTACAAAGGTCAGTGAGACATAGAGCAGTGTACAAAGGTCAGTGAGACATAGAGCAGTGTACGGAGGTAAGTAGGATGTAGAGCAGTGTACAAAGCTCAGTGGGACATAGAGCAGTGTACAATGGTCAGTGGGACATAGAGCAGTGTACAGAGGTCAGTATGATGTAGGGAAATGTACAGAGGTCATTAGGATGTAGAGCAGTGTACAAAGTTCAGTGGGACATAGAGCAGTGTGCAGAGATTAGTAGTAGGTCGGGCAATGTAGGGCAGAGGGCTAGGTATCACCAGGGCCGAGGACTGGATGTTACCAGGGCACAGGACAGGTTGTGTAGAGCAGCTCTATACGCATTTACAGGCATGTAATATATTTTCTACCAAAACACTGGTGGCAGGAGGAAGGCATCTAGGAGAGATGGGCAAATGTGCTGTGTGCATGAGGCCTAAGGACTAAGTTGATTGGTCAAGTTGAGCATCTTTGTAATAAAAGATTATCATAATCTTGACATACTGTACGCCAGCTGTGTATTTCAGCATAAATAGTGAAAGCCAATAAAATGTAACAAATTAACTTCCCATTTTGTCTTCACCTTAGTGACCTTGCTGTTTCCATAATATTCTCCTTTGAATTAGCCATAATTAATCATCATACATCGCTGTGGTTTTGCCATACGAAAATGTATCAAATCCATGAGTCCAGAAAATTACATTTGGAATACATGATAGATTTAATGTAATTTGCGCACTGGAGAGCAGATTTTATTATTGGTTTATTGATTTCTCTGAAAATCAGTCAATAAAAAAATATACAGATAAAAAACATATGCCCAGAGTAGTAGCAATTACCATGCATCCCCTCTGCCATAAAGCCTCTCTTTTGGAGTGTTAGCCAGCTGGAATGGGTATATAATAAGTACATATAATCACTGATTGCACCTCTGTGTTCAGAGCTTATCTCAAAGTTTATTATTATGATAAAACACTTTATAAATCAAGGTTATCCATACACTGGTAGCTAGAACCTGGTTGCTAGGATTCTTATTTTACGTTATGGTGTTCTCATTGATTTTTTTTCTGTGTCAGAGTGCTCCAAACGCACTGTATTCGAATGTTTTAATCACATACAGATAATGAACAATAGGTTCTGCCAATGGTTCAGTAGTATCGCCTTGCAGGCTAGAGAAATAAAACATGGCTTAAGGAGATTCGTCAGGCAAGGAACTCTCAGTGCGTTTAAGTGCTGCAGATGAACAGAGAAAGTGAAATAGATTTTGGTAGATTGATAGAGCATTAGTGGTGAAGCAAGTCAGAAAGGCAGTCAATGCCATTTAAAGGAAAACTGTTTAACTATAATTCTATTTGAGCTTAAGCACATAAAGCAGCTCTGCTCTGCATGAGGCCTCTTACTGAAGTCTAATTAGAAGCACAGTCACATCTGCTCATGCCACATATTGGAATTGTGCGGAGCACATTTTATTGTGTGGGTGCACCAGCCACATGTTACATGCCAACTGAAGACTAGTCACATGAAAAACAGTGCTTAGTGACTTAAAACTGGACCACAGGGATACAGCTAAAAACACAAATGAAATACTTATATGGGAGCTGTTTTACCTACCAAAGGTTTTGTATTTCTGCCTGTTCCATCCTGCGATTTACCTACCACACCACAAAGCCCCGCTTGGCAGGGAAGGAAACCTACGTTTTCTCTGCTGCAGTCAAGTAACCCTTACAGGTTCTGTCAGGAATGGACTGGCCAGCAATAGTGGGACTCAGCTGCCTTATGAGCTGCAGTACCAGGGCTGGCCAGCGGGTGCTCCCAGCAATCAGAGACTCAACCTTGCAGCCAGTCAAACACCTGGAACTAATTATACTGGTGTATTTAAGGGACATTCAGACCTGCAGACTCTGCCTTGGTGTTGTGTTTCTCTTGGGCCCTGTATCCTGTTCCTGCTCTCTGTTCCTGTCTGATTCTCTGCTGACCCTGCTCTGATCCCTGGCTTGTCTGACCATTCTCCTCTGCCTGACCCGCTGTACCACGCTGCCCGCTACCTGCTGAACCTGGCCTGTGACCCCGACCATTCTCCGCTTGCTCCCCCTGTACCTACCTGCCCGACTGATATTGACCCGGCCTGCCTGACGACGCTTGCATTGTATGTACTGTTATCTGTGGGTGGTTGGTTGGTTTGTTTGCACTGTGTTATGTTTTAGTATTGCACTGCGTTTATGTTTGTATGGTTAGTGTTAATAAATTACATTGTTTATAACATATCTGAAGTCTGCGTTTCCCTGCGTCAGTCACACACCTCTGGTCACACCCGGGAGCCCTGACATTACACCAAGGCCAATCCTAACCAGAAGTGGCTGCACAGGGAAGCCATCTTGGCTTGTTGATGGGAAGGATGGATCTGGATGAGGTTGCGTATTTATATCTGCTAGTGTTTGATGACAGGGAGTATGCTTATCAAACTCTGAAGGAGTATACCCGGGATGAACTGCTAGAATGTATACGGCTCGCTCATGTTCTAGTAGATCAGGGCACAGAGTTCTCTGAGGTGCAGCCTTTGATTGAGGTTTGTGCTGAGTTGGTTTCATCTGGTACCCCCGAATGCAGGGATGAATTTTTGCCACCATTTAGTGCAGACCAGGTAGAGTCCCTGGTATGGTTATTAGAGGATGATGTGGGTTACTTTCTGGAGCGTTATTCCACATGTTCACCACAGGTACTAAGAGATTGTATAAACGCAGTGCAGTCTTTGGTCAGACAGGCTTTGTGTAAGCTCAGCTTTGTTCAACCCATACTGCAGACATGGACAGACTTGTTGCACCCAGCCTCAGTCAGCTTACAAAAACCCAGTCCTGCTTCTAATCTATTTCCTCAAAACTCTATTCCTGCATTCCCAACAGCTCCTCCTGCCCTGCTATCTACCGCATGTCAGTACCCTGTTCCCACTCGCTGCACCTATCCTGCCTTTAACCCTGTAAAAAAGCCCTCTGTAGCAACTGCTCCCTCTCCTGTTCCATCCTCCAGTTCTTCTCTGTCTCCAGCTGCTCCATTCGTTTGCAGACCTGCGTTTACTTGCAGTGCTCCAGTAGTTAAAACCAGAAAAAAGCGAAAATTCTTTCCAACCAATACCATCCTGCCAGTATCCAAACCGGTGAACCTGCCTTCCGTGGTTCAGCCTGAAGCCTCTACTCAGCCTGAAGCCCTACTCAGCCTGATGCCTCTACTCAGCCTGAATCCTCTACTCAGCCTGATGCCTCTACTCGGCCTGATGCCTGTACGCAGCCTGATGCCTCTCTTCAGCCTGAAGCCTCTCTACTCGGCCTGAAGCCTCTACTCGGCCTGATGCCTCTACTCGGCCTGAAGCCTCTACTCGGCCTGAAGCCTCTACTCGGCCTATGCCTCTACTCGGCCTGAAGCCTCTACTCGGCCTGATGCCTCTACTCGGCCTGAAGCCTACTCGGCCTACTCGGCCTGAAGCCTCTACTCAGCCGGACGCCGGCATTCAACCTGATGCCTCTACCCAGCATGATGAACTGATCCAGCCTGACGATCCTATTAGGCCAGTTGACTCGATGCCCGCTGTTGATCCAGATGATCCGGTACCTGATCCGGTGCCCGCTGTCGTGCCAATTGACTCAGAGCCCGCTGTCGTACCTGGTGACTCGGTGCCCACTGCCTTGCCAGAGATGACGCGGTGCCCGCTGGCGAGCCAAATGACCTGATGCCTGGTGACCCAGTGCCCGCTGTCATACCTGGCGAGCCAAATGACCTGATGCCTGGTGACCCAGTGCCCGCTGTCATACCTGGTGACCCGATGCCCGCTGTTGAGCCAGACGATCCAATGCCTGGTGACCCGGTGCCCACTGCCTTGCCAGATGACGCGGTGCCCGCTGGCAAGCCAAATGACCTGATGCCTGGTGACCCAGTGCCCGCTGTCATACCTGGTGACCCGATGCCCGCTGTCGAGCCAGACAATCCGGTACCTGATGACCCGGTGCCCACTGTCGTGCCTGTTGACTCGGAGCCCACTGCCTTGCCAGATGACGCGGTGCCCGCTGTCGAGCCAAATGACCTGATGCCTGGTGACCCGATGCCCGCTGTCCAGCCAGACGATCCAATGTCTGCCCCAGTGCCAGCGGTCATGCCAGTTGACTCGGAGCCCACTGTCGTGCCTGGTGACTCGGTGCCCGCTGCGAGCCAAATGCCTGGGGGACCCGAGACCTGTCGCTCCGCCTGTCTGACCCAGGCCCGCCCGCTGCTCCGCCTGGGGGTCCGGGCCCCGCCGCCCCGCCTGGGGGCCTGAGACCTGTCGCCCGCCTGAGGGCCCGAGACCTGTTGCTCCACCTGGGGTCGGCCCAGTGCCGCCGCTCCGCCTGAGGGCCCGAGACTGTCGCTCCGCCTGGCCTGGACCGGTGCCCGCCGCCCTCCGCCTGAGGGCCCGAGACCTGTGCCTGGGGGCCCGGACCCGCCGCTCCGCCTGAGGGCCCGAGCCTGTCGCTCCACCTGGGGGGTCCGCCGCCCGCCGCCCGCCCGCCTGAGGGCCCGAGACCTGTCGCTCCACCTGGGGGTCCGGCGCCCGCCGCTCCGCCTGAGGGCCCGAGACCTGTCGCTCCGCCTGGGGGTCCGGCGCCCGCCGCTCCGCCTGGGGGCCCGAGACCTGTCGCTCCACCTGGGGGTCCGGCGCCCGCCGCTCCGCCTGAGGGCCCGAGACCTGTCGCTCCACCTGGGGGTCCGCGCGCCCGCCGCTCCGCCTGGGGGGCCCGAGACCTGTCGCTCCGCCTGGGGGTCCGGCGCCCGCCGCTCCGCCTGAGGGCCCGAGACCTGTCGCTCCGCCTGGGGTCCGGCGCCCGCCGCTCCGCCTGGGGGCCCGATGCCTGTCGCCCGCCTGGGGGCCCGATGCCTGTCGCCCCGCCTGGGGGCCCCGTCGCTCCGCCTGGGGCCCGATGCCTGTCGCCCCGCCTGGGGGCCCGATGCCTGTCGCCCCGCCTGGGGGCCCGACGCCTGTCGCCCCGCCTGGGGGCCCGACGCCTGTCGCCCCGCCTGGGGGCCCGGCGCCCGCCGCTCCGCCTGGGGGCCCGCGCCCGTCGCTCCGCCTGGGGGCCCGATGCCGGTCGCCCCGCCTGGGGGCCCGATGCCTGTCGCCCCGCCTGGGGGCCCGATGCCTGGCCCTGCCCGCCTGGGGGCCCGATGCCTGTTGCCCCGCCTGGGGGCCCGATGCCTGTCGCCCCGCCTGGGGGCCCGACGCCTGTCGCCCCGCCTGGGGGCCCGAGCGCCTGTCGCCCCCGCCTGGGGGCCCGGCGCCCTCGCTCCGCCTGGGGGCCCGATGCCGGTCGCCCCGCCTGGGGGGGCCCGATGCCGGTCGCCCCGCCCGGGGGCCCGATGCCTGCTGCCCCGCCCTGGGGGGCCCGATGCCTGCTGCCCCGCCCGGGGGCCCGCTGCCTGCTGCTCCGCCCGGGGGCCCGCTGCCTGCTGCTGCCCGCCGGGGGCCCGCTGCCTGCTGCTCCGCCCGGGGGCCCGGTGCCTGCTGCCCCGCCCGGGGGCCCGGTGCCTGCTGCTCCGCCTGGTGGCCCGCTGCCTGCTGCTTCGCCTGGTAATCCGATGTGCCTCTGCCCCCTGCCCGATGTGCCCTGCCCGGATGTGCCCTGCCCTGCCCCCGATGTGCCTCTGCCCTGCCCGATGTGCCTCTGCCCGGAGTGCCCATGTGCCTCTGCCGGAGTCCCTGCCCGGTGTGCCTCTGCCCGGTGTGTGCCCTGCCCGATGTGCCTCTGCCCGGAGTCCAGCCCGATGTGCCTCTGCCCGGAGTCCAGCCCGATGTGCCTCTGCCCGGAGTCCAGCCCGATGTGCCTCTGCCCGGAGTCCAGCCCGATGTGCCTCTGCCCGGAGTCCAGCCCGATGTGCCTCTGCCCGGAGTCCAGCCCGATGTGCCTCTGCCCTGCCCGGATGTGCCTCTGCCCGGAGTCCAGCCCGATGTGCCTCTGCCCGGAGTCCAGCCCGATGTGCCTCTGCCCGGAGAGTCCAGCCCGATGTGCCTCTGCCCGGAGTCCTGCCCGATGTGCCTCTGCCCGGTGTGCCGCTGCCCGGAGTCCTGCCCGGTGTGCCAGTCTTTGATATCCCGCCAGTTACCAGACCCGGGCGGTGGAACATTTTGCCCAGCTAGGACTGTTTGGAGCGTCCTGAGGCCGCTCCTTGAGGGGGGGGGGGGGTACTGTCAGGAATGGACTGGCCAGCAATAGTGGGACTCAGCTGCCTTATGAGCTGCAGTACCAGGGCTGGCCAGCGGGTGCTCCCAGCAATCAGAGACTCAACCTTGCAGCCAGTCAAACACCTGGAACTAATTATACTGGTGTATTTAAGGGACATTCAGACCTGCAGACTCTGCCTTGGTGTGTGTTTTCTTGGGCCCTGTATCCTGTTCCTGCTCTCTGTTCCTGTCTGATTCTCTGCTGACCCTGCTCTGATCCCTGGCTTGTCTGACCATTCTCCTCTGCCTGACCCTCTGTACCACGCTGCCCGCTACCTGCTGAACCTGGCCTGTGACCCCGACCATTCTCCGCTTGCTCCCCCTGTACCTACCTGCCCGACTGATATTGACCCGGCCTGCCTGACGACGCTTGCATTGTATGTACTGTTATCTGTGGGTGGTTGGTTGGTTTGTTTGCACTGTGTTATGTTTTAGTATTGCACTGCGTTTATGTTTGTATGGTTAGTGTTAATAAATTACATTGTTTATAACATATCTGAAGTAAAAAAATAAAAATGTAATAATGAATACAGAGCTCCATTAGATTTATGTCATTTTTATCTGGAGAAAAGCCTAGTGTGACAATGCTGCGGTTCCAGTAGACACAGTGCAGTGAGTAAGCTTTGCCCTCTTAGGACAGGCAAATTCACCAAGTGAAAATAAAAGAAAAAATAGATTTAAAAAACTTATGCAGCTACAACATCTAAGGACAGATATGTTTTATGATATCGCATTTTTTGGTTTTGGGTTTAGATACATTTTAATCACCTCTGGACTATCTCTTTGTAATTAAAATGGAACTAAAGTCTAAGGGCAGTTCACACCAGAATCACACTAGAATGTGGTCTGCAGTCCTGTGTGTTCCCCTGCAGTGCAGTTTGGCAGTCCATTAATTTAAATGGGCTGCAAATCGCACTGGACGGCATAAAAAGTAGTGCATGCCATACTTTTGAAAAAGGCACCACACCAAACTGCATGGTACTGTACCATGTGATCAGGTGCCTGCAAATGCAGTGCATGCAAACACTTGAAGAACTACTGGCTCTCTTTCAGAAAGCAAACCAAAACCATCTCATCTAATGGAAGTCTATAGCAAATGGGCAACCTGCACAAAAACTGAGTACACTGTGCTGCACCCGCACTGTGGGGAAACTGCAGAAGATGGGTGTGAAAGGGGCCTGAGGGATAAACAATAGGGGAATTTAATCATTGTTGGATTCTTCTATGACCCTAACAGCTAACATTTTCTGTTTTCTTAAAAAGCTTTAATCTGAGCTTCAGGTACCTGATGAGGTCTTAACTTTACTATGATATTATGCTCAGTCACAGTGTCATGGTAAATTACGCTTTGTGGCCTCTCAATTTTTTTGAAGGAACTTTCACCTCCTGACTCTAAGTAGCAGTCTGGGTCTCTGACATCCTAACTACTGGCATAATCATTACTTACAAATAGTATTAGGTTATCATAGCTTATTTGGAGGGGCTTTCTCTTTCTGAGCTGGTATACTGGTAGTTCACTGGTTCAGTGATTTGCTTGCTAATCTCATAGGGACCCTACCACAAACTGATTCTCTAATGTAGGCATCAAAACTAGTACTGTCTCTCAGGTTAATGGTTCTGATTTAAGCAGTCTAGTTATAAACTGTAGCCTGCACCTAACAATATATATTCCCCACTTTTGGGAACAACTGACGATATTCTATCACTACATCTATGCATGTGTTAGATTACACTCTTGTGGGGTGTGGCCTCTTGTTCTAATGTTTTCCAGGCTGTATCCAGGAGTCCTTAGGGATGTCTACTGTGCAAAAGTTAAAAAAAGGAAACCCTGTGGAAAAGCACTTCCCCTATTGACAGCATTGTAACAGAAAGTACCAGTCTTTTTCATCCTTATCAACCACTATTTTTAAGATACCTTTCAAGGTTCTATTTGTAGCGTTACCGCCGTGGGAACTGCTGATGTGAATGAGTCCCCTGTTCTTTGCCTTGACATTTTCCAGAAAACCTTAGCTCCTCTAACATAACAGGTTAAGTGTACAAACTTACAATATCACAGAAAATCACTGAAGGTAATCCTTAGTACCCAGTAGTAGTGCTATAGCAAAGAAAACAGACACCAAACCAGGTAGAAAAGGCAAACATAATATAGCGTCTCCCAATATGGTTGGTAACTACGGAAGCATGGATTAACAAGTGTAATAACACAGAGCAATGTCTCCATCTCCATATTGCAACTGGCTACATATTAAACCATTCTACCAGCCCATCAGTTTGGAGTTTAGTTCTGTAAGTGCAGTTGCCTTATCTGAGATAAAAAATAATGAACTGCAAGCTGCACTCAGAGTAATCCTGTACATTAAAAAGGTGGTAGCAGCCTTAGTCTATCTCCACCCTGGCCACCTCTTGATGTACAGGATTGCTCGGCGTGCAGCTGGTAGTTCATTGTTTTTACTCTCAGATATTGCAAGCAGTTTGAATGAACTCTTCACCCAACCTGCACCCTGGATGGAATCCACCAGACATGGTTGTACAAGCCAGAATGAGGACCTGAAGCTTTTATTAGGTTCCTTGGTTGCCTTCATTACTTTTGATATGAAAGGAGTTCATAGTCTTTCAAAATTTCTATAGGAATACCAATACAGGAAAACATGTGTAACCGTTCTTTCACTATAAGGAAAGAGGGCATGTCTGTGAAATGCATTGCTTATTAATGCTGGGAAGACTACCAATATGTGCTGATGCTTCCTCTCAGACTTCAGCAGTTCAGATCCATAGCATCCTTCTCAAAAGGACCACAATTATAGGCAAGGGTACCAACAGACTTTGAAAATGTGGTTGGGGAACATTAA